TTTAAAGGAAATGTATTGGCTATTGCCAAAATGCTCTTCATTATCTGTGTGCAGTAAAATGTTATTACATAAACAGGTCCTTATGCCAGAGTCGTACCCACCTCTGGGGCTGTGCCACAAAAACCAACATAACAGATATTATTATACAGATATACTATAATACAATGCTTCCAAAATAAAATACTGAGGACAATTGTGGGTGCTCCTTGGTAAATACGAAATGAGAATCTGCATCGCGATTTGGATATAGAGCCCGTAGATAAAGTGATAAAAAAGTACGCTGGCTCACGAACATAGACTTCATCATCACGTGAACATAGAGGCTATAAAAGCTACTAGACAATACAAATATAGTGCGTAGACTACAAAGAACTAAACCTTTTAAATTAGTGTTGTTAATTTATAGTGAATAAAATAATTATTGGTGCCAGTGTTCATTAGGCTATGAACACATAAGCAAAGAGTCCTCCCCTTAACTAATATTAAAAGATATTTTGTCGATGGACAATTTCTTTATATAAGTTACTTTTATTTTAGGATATTATGTTAAATTAAAATTACTTATTAGTCTTGTACAATGGCTAGATTGGAATTAGTTATAAGGTTTTGTTTTGCTTTACAACAAATAAAAATATATTTTTTTAAATCGGTAATATGAGCATCATTGTGTTCCGGTTTTTAATGGTAAGGTAATGCTGGTGAAATTACATGCACCTGGGACTTGTCAACTAATGTCTCAGTGTGACGTGCGCTATTGCAGTGCCCCTCAGAACCTTGCAATTTAAAGCTCTGAGTAGCAATACAACTGTTATGCAGGCATGTTGCTTACCACCTTGCCCACGACTTGTTCATCCCGTCTCTTAGTATCATAGAAAAAGTCGCTGAAAGAAGAAAAACCGATACAAAAGTATCGGTTACTTTTATTTTTATTTAAGTTTTATATATTCTAACTTTACATTACTTAAACATTCAAATCAGTCTTTCCCAATAACGAACTAGCGACATCTTTTTCATCTAGCATTAATACAGTGCACGAATTATGTGCAAGATTTCAATCAAAGTCCGCCCATGTCGACTGCCGGAATGACTATTGTTCAATAGGAATTTTGGGTAGAAACAATTAAGCCATTGTTCGAACAATATCCATCGCGAGCTTAACAGTGCCAGACGCCTAATTGATTGATTCCCTGTATAACGTAATAACGTACACAATAATCAAGTACTTATGGCTGCATAATGCAGCTTCTGTAGGGTATCTGTTCTGTTCAAACAGTCAATGGGGAATATTTGGATATTAGTAACGGTTGAAAGTATTATTTCATCATCATCATATCACTACACGTCTTACTGCTTATCACGACTATCCTCTACCTCGCTTAATTTCAACTCTATATTTAATAATTATACTATAGACTTATAATAATAACGCATAGAATGATAGTTTCATATCAAACGAACTGTCACAAGTGAGGAAAAATCAAATTCATGTAGATTAGTTTTAGTAGTAGGTAAATTTTCGGTTTTAGTGAATATTTATATAAAAATACAAGTTGAAACGCGTTACTTCCTTGTGGAATGTGATGTTAGTATCTATTTTACGTTTGTCTGACGTATTTTTACACTCATTTACCGCACATTTCGTCAGTTTTAGCTAAAATTCTTGATCTGTTCGTGGTGCAAGTTGACCTTGAGCACTGAAGGCCCGCCCGCTCGTGTAGGCCCTTTTGGCGCGCTTCAATTTGCCTCACTTAGCGTGTGCGGACTAGCCTAGGTTTCTATGCGTTATTATTCTAAGACTACAGATATGTTTAAAGATTTATTACGAAAAAAACAAGTAGTTAATTATATTTAGGTACTTAACTAAATGTAAACAATCTTGTGGTGTCCATTTAATGAAATATACATAATATAAAATGATTTTTACTTACCTTCAAATACAAAATACAAATACTTAGCTTCATATGAAATTGCATGCCTATTTTTCTACCTATTGATTTGTAAAGCTAATTTTCATTAGAAAGATATATCAAGATTGTTTACATTTAGTTAAGTGCCTAAACAAATAGAATATAGGTAGGTATATCTATTTTGATATTTACGAAATATGTGTCATCGCAGCAACAATCGTACACTAAACCAATAAAACTGTTTAGCTATAAATGCTGTTATCTATGGTCAGCGCTACAAAGAGAATGGAGAATTCATACGGTTTGATATACATATAGTTGCATGGTTGCTGCTTAGAGATTTATTTATCCAACCGAATTTGCAAAAGCCGCAATGTATATCAAACCCAACAATGAATTCGTGAAAACTCAGAATAAGCCTTGATCTAACAAAGGAAAATAAGTTTTTGGTGCCATGCCCAGAGTTCAGTAGAATAGACTTTGTGTAAACCACAGTAGGTTTAAGTTCTGTTGCAGACCACATCGAATGATTTCCGCAGTATTTTGCAGCCCGCAGCGAACTAGTGACACGAATACAGTCCCCACAAAGTTTAAAACAAAATAAGTGTTACGGATTTAAAATCTTGGAATTCTTGGATAACAACTTTTGAGTTCTCTTGGAGTTGAGGTGTTGTTAGATTTTCTAATAAAAGTTTGCTCTGTAACTGTTTTTATGATGACATATATCTCTTCCTGAAGGAAGAGAGATACGTCAAAGAAAAGTAAGTGAACTTGGTGACTACTTCCAAACGCTAGCTTTGTAAAGGAATTTTAAAGAAAAGAAATAAATAAAAAGAAGCAAGTTCAAAGTATTGTAAAAAACTAGCTACCGAAATATGCAATACAAGTAAATTAGTATAGTAAATGGAGTAATCTAGCACGAATGGAATGAACGTGCCTCATAAAAAATTTAAATAGTTACTGGCCATTCTACGGTATTTGTTAGTTACCGCGACCGCAGGATGCCGAAATCACTAACGAACTTACTATTCGCAATTCGAATGCCAATCATCAAAACGCGGTTGAATGCCGCTGTATCTACAATTTATAGAGTACGACACTTTCTTGCTTTTTATGCAATTAATTCGTAACACAATGTGGCCAAATTTATTAGATTTTTTCTTATTTGTTGCTGAAAGCTCAGACTAGCCATTAATAGTATAAATTTCTGTGTAATAATTAAAATTGTTACTTTATGAATATTCATATTCTATTTATTGTTTTATCATTACATAAACTTAATTTCTCTACCCGAATAAAATATTAGTTGCAAGAGACATCTAGTGACATTGCGTTGATTAGACAGAGACAAAAAGGTGCCGCTACACATGTTTTGTAACGGGGTAGTTCTAGGATAATCGAGTATTATTTATTCACAACAGATGGCGTAGCATGAAAGCGAAATGGCATTTTACCAAATTCATTAAAAAGTATAAAAGGAAATAGAAATATGCTTGTCAAAAAGGAAATAATGTTGGTTACTTTAATTTCCACCATTAATTTTCGCATGTTTAAAATTCACATACAAAAGTGCATAATATTATTAATTGACTACATATTTCTTAAAATATTTGTAAGTACATTTACAAAAAAAGGGATGTGCCCCGCAACAGTAGAAAAAAATACTATGTTTTTTATGAAAATTTTAAAGAATAAACTTTAGTTTTTAATAGCGTGAAAAGTGTAATCTTATTATTATTTCATTAATTAATTCAACTTTTTCATAACAATGTTTTTTACTCGTCATACAAAAATAAAATTGCCGCATGCGAAATGTCACATTAATAAGGTGCATGTTTTTGTATTACAGACCTTGATTAAATGTAGTTTCTATAGTAAAGTGGTTTGATATATGGTTTCATAGTAAAAATTTCAGTAATATGCCAATAATAAAATGAGTCATACCGAATTACTTTTCTTTTTCGTTACGCATAATTTCCACTTTCACTTAATTTCTGAACTCATCCGTTAGATTTATGCATGGGCACCACTAGAATCATCCTTAATGGCTGTTGGTTTGGCGTCCTCGGCCACATTTTTCATGACTGTCAGACCAAACATAATGGTCAATACTTTCGTGACGTTAATATTATAATAAGGAACTTTTTCATGATAAGGTGCGTCTTGATTTATTTATCCCTTCGTAATACATGTAAAATAAGCGTATTACATTTGTAATATCAAGTTATAACAAACCAATGGTATTTAAAAACTGGGTTATAATCATGTTTGTACTATTATTTCGTAACATTTTTATATATTTCGTTACGTAACGGGATAAAGCTGAGTATACACTGTTATTACCCGACTTCGACAATGCAAAAAAGAAAGAGGCTGACAGTAGATATTTCAACATTATGCACAAAAATGATTGTAATTCTGATGAGTTATATGTAAGTATGTAACGAAATTGCATTTATCTAATAAATAGTTGGTATTTTAAAAAAAAATCTCCTTCCAAGTCCGCATAATCGACCAATTGACCCAAACTATAATTTACTTATAGAATATAAAAATGCCTCCAAAAACAAACTGAGTTACTTCAGATATCTGAACTTCCTATGGAATACATGCTGATGAATGATGAAGATAGTATCTACCTTTAGATTTTTAAGTACTAATTGCGGTAATTATGATTAGAGCATTAATTTTGTGATTTAAGTGTGGCGGCTTTGGACGCCGCCTATTATTACCGGCTGGCTGTGGCAGTCTCTTTGGACGAGAGTCGCCAAGGAGAGTGTCATACTTGCCAAAATATTCGATAGTTTTTTTAGTTACGTAAATTTTCATGTCAGCGATTGGAAATTGTTTGCCCGGTTTGATAAAAGTTATTTGTAAACCACGAAATAATATAATTCATTAAGTTCACGAGGCCGTTTTATTGTTCGTTAGGGGAGTGATAAATTCCCCAAATTGGTGACCCCGACGTGATTGTCTCGGTGGCCTCGAACATTTATGAGAAAATTCCGATGTGATTTTAATTTTACGTTTCTCAAGAAATAAAAGTTTACAAAAATATCAAACACTATATCGAAAGCCTTGAAGATGATGAGGAATACGAATTGAAGGCCTTCTTCTCTATAACGCCCGGCGAAATGTCCATGGAGGATCAGCTCCGAGATTCGGCTGACTGCGACTTGTGAGCAGTTACGTGCCAACGTGCGTTCTACGTTATCTACCGGTGGTCGGCAACGATGGTGCTCTACTTGTAATCAAAACCACAGATGGCCCAGTTTCTTGCCGGCCCCGTCGTTTGATAAAAAACTGGTAAACTGGCAGACGCTAAAAAAGAAGAAATTGAAGAGATGGTTCGCTCCGATACTGCAAGGCCTTCAGATAGTCCGTGATCATCTCCGCTGCATTTGACCTTGAAAAAGGACAGCACCTGGCGCCCTTGCCGCAGTCTGCACGCCAGGACCATTCCCGATCGTTACCCGGTGAGACATATTCATGACTTTGCTGACAGCCTCAGCGGAGCCACCGTTTTCAGCACCCTTGACCCTGGTAAAGGCGTATCATCAAATTCCTGTGGCAGAAGAAGACATTCCCAAAACAGCTATTACCACTCTCTTTGGCCTCTTCGAATTCCCATTCGTGATCTTCGGTTTGAGGAATGCGGGTCAAACCTTTCAAAGGTTCGTCGATGGGGTCACACACACACACAATCCAAACCCCGTGGATTTCTGTTTTCCTTATGTAGACGATATTCTCATCTTCTCTAAAGACGAGGCTCTCCACAAGGACCACCTGTGGACTCTTTTCCAGCGCCTTCAGGATTATGGTGTTGTTTTGAACCCTTCCAAGCGCAATTTTGGAGGAAGAGAGGCCCGATTTATGGGATACGTTATAACTCCTAATGGCACTCGCCCTCCTCAAGAACGAATCCAAACTCTACTAGATTTTCCTCCTCCCAAAACTGCGCAGGGTATGCGCCGTTTTCTGGGCATGTTAAATTTTTATAGACGTTTCATTACTCAGGAAGCTAAATGTCGGGCTCCCTTAATTGACGCTGTCGTTTCTCCAATGGCAAAGGCGCTAAACCATTTTCATGGACGCCAGGAATTCTGGAGCATTTCGTAGCCTGTAAAGCCAGGCTATCTAGTGCCACGTTATTGCAACACCTGATCATGGATGCAACTCTTGGGTTATTTACCGATGCATCCAGTGTCCATGTTGGTACTTGCCTTCAGCAACAGGTGGACGGTGCCTGGAATCCCCTCGCTTTCTTCAGCAGGAAATTGACTCCTTGGCAAGCTCAGTGGCCTGCTTATTATCGGGCGTTGCTGGCGGTGTACAAAAGCGTACAACATTTTCGCCACATTCTCGAAACACTGCACGTGACTATATATAACCCACTGCTGTACGCCTTCGTACAACGTCGTGAAAAATTACCTCCACCGCATCTGAACCAGCTATCTATATATTTATTAGACAATTTTCAACTGACATTTAATATGTTAGGTATGAAGACAACGTCGTCGTGGACACTTTATCCCGCATCAAGGCGATTTCACTCGAAGACGATTTCGACGCACTAGCTCAGTCTCAAATGTCTGATATAGAGTTGGCGAATATGCAAGAAGGATCGGCTTTGAAATTAGAACAGGTTTTGATCCCGGGCACCAACATCACTCTAATATGTGATACCTCAACCGGTAGTCCTCGACCTTACCTCACTTCGACGTTCCGTCGAGCTGCTTTCGACCGTTGCTATAACATCAGTCACACTGGTGCACCTTTGCGCTTGGTAGCAAGTCGCTAAGTATGGCCTAGCATCAAAAAAGATTTTTTTGTTGATCCTAAGCCAAAGATTTTTTTGATTTGTCGCGAGGTGTCGCACGTGTTAAATCACCTATTGGTCGGTTTGATCAACCAACCAGTCGATTTCGTCATCTGTAGATCGACATTATCGGCCCACTTCCATTTTCTAACGGTTTCAGTTATTATTTGGCCGCCATAGACCGTCATACACGGTGACCGGAGGCAGACAACAAATAAGTAATGAGAACGGACACTCTCCGCCGCTCCCTATCTTTAGATACCGCACCACGCCCCGCACATTGATGGTCACATTGACTGAACGAGTACAAGGCTGTCGGCGAGCCGTTTTCACGCTAAGACGGCTTTGATGTTTGAATATAGTTTTCATTTATTCATTACGAAATTTGTACATTAATATATAATATGATTTTACGTTACTATTTATAATGGTCGTGAATTGTGCTGTGTACGGCTGTTTATAATCATCTAAACGGTAACGATACAGAGACGAGTTTCTGTCGTTTTAGAAAGATGAAATGAAATAAATAAAAAATGTCTGAGACTCAGTCAGTTATTGTTTTCTTTAGTACAGAGTAATATATAATACAGATTTATTATATCAATATAATAAGACGCCATAACTTCGTGAGCTAGACAAGGGTTTTAGAATTTTCAATTTGTATTGCCGTTAAATATTACGTAGTAGATATACCTAATTATTAAGTAGGTAATGATAAAGTTGGATACGCAACGTCAAATACTTTAGTTACCTTATTTAAAGGTACCTGTCCAAAATATAACATCTTTAAATATATTTTTTTAAATAAATCTTCAATATTATTCTAGATAATGAACTAATGAAAAATATAAAATTATATCGACACAAATGCCTAAGGAACATATGTAATTATTACGATTATATTAGTAGAATCATAGATAACAGATTCGCGTGAGAATTTTCGCTATGTTGCCGCTCTGACTACGTAACGTAATAGAACGGGATAGTGATGTATAACCCTGCCACTTCACACACACATTCGCGCGTTTGCAGATAGCGCCTTGCAGTATGTAGTAGTAGTAGTAGGTAAATAATTTTCGTCCGTTATATGGAGTGTCCGGGGTGTGCCGGAGGCTTGGCCAATAGCGACAATAACTGCAGAAGAAGTATTTGACAAATTAGTGTCGGGATGGATTTTTCGTTTCGGTGTTCCTAGCATTGTCACTTCCGATCAGGGACGTCAATTTGTGTCGGTGCTATTTCGGCGACTCATGGATTTCTGCGGAGCAAAAAGAATTCACACCACCAGTTACCATCCTTGCGCCAATGGCATGGTGGAATGCCTCCATTCTCTGTTCAATGCAGCTCTCATGTGCCTCGCTGATACGTGGACGAGAGCATTGCCTCTGGTACTCCTAGGCATGTGGACGGCTTTTAAGGAGGACATCAATGCGTCATCAGCGGAACTCCTTTTACGGCCAGACCTTCCGCCTTTCTGGCGAGTTGATTCTTGCTCCTCCTAATCTAATCAGCCCCGCAGAGACGTCTGATTTAATAATAACCCAACTGAGACGTGCAATGGAGTCAATTCAGCCGGTTCCTGCATCTCACCACGACAGGCCTTCGTCTTTTATATTTAAGAATTTGGCGACGGCCACTTACGTATTTCTTCGGGACGACATTTCTCGAAGATCGCTGCAACCGCCGTACTCTGGAACTCATCGCGTCCTCAATATAATTGGAAAAGACAATTTCGCTAGACGTCGGCGTAAGGACCGTCACCGTCAACATCGATCGTGTGAAACCTGCGCACATGATGCTGATGTCACCGATGGCTTCCGAACCCCACCTGCTGTGCCACCGGCTGAGCAACCCCTGGCTACAGTCCCGCCACAGTTACCGTATTCAGTTCCCCCAAACACCACCTTCTCACCCGGCACTCTGTACAGGAGGCATGTGCGTTTTAAAGATTTTAGGGATTTTGTTCAATAGGATAATTTTTGTTTTTATGTTCGGTTTCTTCACATCGTGGGGAGGTGGCGTGGCAGCTTTAGACGCCGCCTAGTATCACCGGCTGGCTGTGGCAGTCTCTTTGGACGAGAGTCACCAAGGAGAGTGTCACACGTGCTAAAATATTCGATAGTATTTTTAGTTACGTGAATTGTCATGTTAGCGGTTGGAAATTGTTTGCCCAGTTTGATAAAAGTCATTTGTAAACCACGAAATAATATAATTCATGAAGTTCACGAGGTCGTTTTATTGTTCGTTAGGGGAGCAATAAATTCCCCAAATAAATAAGAAAGCAAACTGTATTTTCAAAAATGTTAATATTAATTTTAAGAAAAAAACGTATTTTTTTTATACCCAAGAGAGAAATAAATGTAGGCCATACAAATGTTTCTCCCGACCCCCGGGTCGAAACGAACCTGGCACTTCTGCGTGGTAGTCAAGCATAGTAACCGTTTGGCCACGGAGGCAGTTAATAACGTTTTTCTGTAAGTGGCTTTTAGCTATTTCAAGTTTATTTTATAACTCACGCTAAATAAAACTTCGAAAAGATATTGCTAAACGTATGTTCCATAATGTGAGCCTTCAAATTTATATTTTTCAAATTTTTCTGGAAAAATTTCCACTATTTGAAATTTTTCGGAAAATTACTCAACAGTAGTCGTATAGAACATGATGTGAGCCTTCAAAATTATATTTATCAAATTTTTCTGGAAAAATTTCCACTACTTGAAATTTTTCGGAAAATTACTCAACAGTAGTCGCATCACTAATGAATGTCATATGTCAAATTCCCTGCAAAGACTGGATAAACTACTACCCATGTTATGTGACCAATGTTAGAAGTCCGCTTTTGTTTTGCGTATGCAGGTAAACAAAGATCTTTTTAAAAGGCCAGCGTTAATTATAGCCGGGCGGATGAAGCAATAATGAGCAGACTGCGTGGATAACTAAAATAGATTTTGTACAAAATATTTTGTGTTCGTGACGTGTTATCGTAGAAATCGAACTTTAAACGATAGTTGCTGGGCTAAGATTAGTAACTTTTTTTGAAAAATATTGTTAAGTGACAAAAAACTGTAATGTTCACATCGTTGCTCAGCTCCTTGCTAACACAGGCCGACTGTCAAGAGGTAGGTAAGTTTACTAATGTATTCCGCGTGGTTTTAATTAGTAGAATCATTACTTAATGATAAGTAACGGCGTGTACAATTATTATCTTGAAACTTGATTAAACCATTTATTCGCAAGGATGCCCTTGAATCGTCCGCCCTTGAAGTCAGAAACGTCAGTTGATGCAGTATTTTGGCTGGCATGCATGCTGAATTCTACATACAAAGTCCTTGGACTGACTATTCACATTTCCTATATTTCTTATACTCATTCAGTTGAATTGGGCTGGAATTATTACCACAGCTTTGTTAGATAACCAGTCTAACCTCAATGACCTTAACCATTTATATATTATGATGAAAACAAGGAAATTGTACATTACGAGAATATCACTTCAAATGTGAATTAAATTTTTTTCTAAACAAGTACTCACCTGGTTTATTGAATGGAAGACAACCAATGAATTCTTACAAATTTAAATTCTGATTAACACATGTCATCACCATAAGAAATATCTGAAGATAGTAAAGCTCAAGACATTTAAATTAGTTGAGTACA